TAAATAACTGCCCAACACAGCTCACACACAGCTAGGCTTCAAATCCAGCAGCTACAATGAGGCAGTCACTCCCTGGGGTGAAGCTATAATTTGAGTATTAGTCAGAAGTTGGTACCAGACTCTGGGTGTTTAGCTTGAGAGCTTGGAGGCATTTAAACAGGATATGAGTGTTGAAGATGACAGCTGATGTTGTCTAACAAGCATTTATTCTGCTCCTAGCAACAGCAAAACAATATTTGTGTCCTTTTCATTTTGGGACAAAACCTAATCTGTCTCCAGATATCCAAGTTACTCAAAACACTGTAACAAAGGCTTTCCAATATACTTAATTTACTTAAGTAATGCATTCACACGCGCTTTATTTTTTTCACTGTCAGACATTAATAAACATCTTAAAGACACCTTCGGGCTAGCTATGTCGAGATGCTGGGGCCATAAAAAAAAAAAAAGCCGTAATGGTATTCTGTCCTGCTCCTTCACACACACCTCCAGAGTTATACAGCACAAGGAGCTACAGCAACAGCTGAGGTCAGGTGCAACTAAGCTCTGTAGGTGAAATGGTGCACGCATGAATCTTTTTTTAATCAAGAATAGAAAAAAAAAACTGCAGCTCTTCCTTATAAATGGTTACGCTCAGTGAAAATACATCAAATAAATGAAACCAAACCAATCGGGCCAAATTAGGTCAAGACATTTGGGAACTACAGAGTCAGTTTTGTTTGTCACAAGCTGCTTCTGTTGTCTGTAATAACAAATCCTAAGTCTAGACAATCTGGTCCTTAAACCCCACACAGTATAACATTAATCTGTCAAGTCTTGTCTTGTATTTAAGTGTAATCAACATACAACAAACCCTGAGGGAACTGAACCCCTTCTGACACACAGCTCCCAAAATGTAAGAGTTTAAAAGCAATTAGAACCATAACTATGGAAAGGGAAAGGACTGATGTGTCTGCCTAGTGAACTGAAGTATGTGTCTATTGAATAGGCACATACTTCTCTTCTTTCCTGGACCTCTTTGTGTTGACTCACAGGGGAATGTAAATCATTTGGACTAAGAGCAGATTCCTCAGACAGATGAAGATATTCGACAGTCTCACCATCAGAAGCTCAGACACTAGATTCCTGCAAGGTGACCAATTGTGGTCTTTCAGGGTATCTAAAAAAATTTGTTTAAACTTAATATGAGGAAACAACAAAGACAAAAAGGGAAAACCTAATCAAACTAATACTCTCATACTAACAGTAACTGCAACTAAGAGTACTAAAGAATCCCACAAAGATGATAACACAAACTTACTAATAATCAAACAGAAAAACAAACAGAGAATATTCAATTATAAATAACTGAACTGAAAATTTCACAGTTTATTAAGTGCTGACATAAGCTGACTAAAAGTAGAGACGTGCTATTTTTATGTGCCCATTATTTTATTTTATTTTCAACCCAATGGACTGAAACACAAAGCCCGAAGGTCAATACGCAGACACACTACTATCGCACAATACTATAAGGTGTAACACCTACATGGCTTCCGTATCGAGTCACAGGGGCATTCTTACTGTAATCTGACCATGTGCGCACATGGCAGCAGCCATTCACGCCACAAAACCAAACGTATGTGCCATTGTCAGACTCAACTAAGTACTACCTGGTTAAATTCGGTTATTTACTCAAAGACATTCAGCCCGAGTTCATTTCACTCCAGACTGTAAAACACATTTTTCTTCATTATCTGGTTCAGTAGTTAGTTACTACGCTGTAGTAACTGCATTATTCAAAGAGGTAAACTCCCGTTAAATATGATCTTCACTGGACGAGGGGCTATTATGTTGAACGTTGCGGTTAGTCTCGATGGTGATGCATCAGTTTGTACTCGGTAGACGCACGTTTCAAGGTGTACAAGAGACAAGAGGAAAGCTGCTATCACCGCGTAACTACAGCGACTGCGAATATCACGTCTCATCACGGTAAGCTAACACAGTGCCAGCTAACGTGATGTACGAGCGTGAAACACTCACCGAAAAACCGATGCTGCCGTCACGCTGTTAACATAATGTGCCTGCTGTTCGCGGAAAGGTTCAGTAAGCCAGAGGGTCCA